CTCGTTGTTGGAGAAGTGACCTCCAGGTTTCCCCGCGGCAGCCGTGGAGTGCGAGGGGCTTCGCCGTGGGTCTGGACTGAGGGGTGGGGGGTGTAGAAATGATAATGTGTGGTGTACTAATAAAATGAGGGGGTTTAGGAGTGCTTGGATGCAGCTGTGGCCCTTTGTAAGGTTCACAGCAAAATCCACCTCGCAAATAAAACAGACGGGCCATGATCACTCTCTACCTGGAAGAAGTTAGAATGGGAGATAGGCTTTCAAAAGAAGGCAACTTTTGGGGATTTTTGTCCTGGGTGTGACTCCTGATCGACTTCTAGGGTCCAGCTGCCACTGGGGACAATGGCTTTGCTGCAAGGACATGCTGGGAATGCCAGGTTGGAAGGTGTTCCCCCTGCCCTTCCCCTCCCACTGGCCACGCACTGCTGGGCAGCTTAATTTAAACCTGCTTCCAACAGACAGAACACAAAGGAGAACATTATTAAAGTCTGATTCCTAAGTACCACCCCTAGAGCTGCTTGCACAGCCTGTCACTGAAAATTAAAAACCTAAAAGTAAAGAATAAACTACACAGGTATTCAGGTTCTTTGGGATTTGTAAAATATAAGTAGCACTTTTGTGCCTCACCCAACGGGGCAAGGGAAGCAGGATATTTTTTGGGGGGGAGGGAACTGGGGGTGAGCTGGGGTAAGTGCAGGGCCCACAGTGAGCACAGAACAGTGGGTCATGGGAGGTGGTGCAGCAAAAAGGGCCCTTGGCCCCAATAAATCCATAGGGAAGGTTGTAGGTGCTGCCAGGAGCAGCACATGGCTGTGAGAGGTGTGTGATAACACTACTTTTAAAACAAAAAAGATCCTAATTCAGGTTTTTTCCCTTCATTTGAGTTCCTGGTAAAGCACAGAACAAGGAACACTCCACCTAAGCGCTGGTTTCATCAACTACCAAGGACAACCACCCAGCTGAAGCAGCTCCTGGTGCCTGCACCAGCAGCTCTGCTCTGAAGTTAACCCCATTTTTCCTGTAGCTGACAGTATTTGATTAAAGAAACCACCACAATAAGGTCTCTCCCCTCCACACATTGCAAAAGGAAGTTTTCCATCTTTCAAAATCGCCTGTAGCCACAGAGTAAATGTGACAGGGCCCACGTTGCCTCAGAGGAAGCTGAAGATTCATCTTCAGGAGGGTGAATTTCAGAGTTAAATTCTTCTCTCTGTTTTCTCAGTGAATTAACTCTCAGGTTCTTTGTGAGAATTGGGAGCAAATTCAGCATCACCAGGCACGGTGCCTCTTAATGTGTCTGAAGCATGAAGCAAAGCCAACACAAACCTGTCTACTAGAAAAAAAATGAAGGACCACAGTATAGGGAATGAGGAAATTTTGAATGATACTCTGTAATTCTATTTACACACCACCCAAATCCAGATTTTTCTTCTTTTAGTGGCAGTCGCCACCAAAATCTAAGCAACTCCATATAAAAAAAAGCATTAATATCTTCACAGTTTTCTTCTGTTTTGTAATTGAGTGAAATCAATAAATACAACTTAACATCCAGAGGGATTACCAGTATTACCAGTTAACCTGGACAAACATCTGAAGCTGAAGCTCATGCAAGAACATCATTTTTACATCCAATTTTGTAGATCAGCTATAAAATGATGCAGTGAGAGTGTGCATCAACAGAGCACGACCTCCTCTAAATAAGAGTTATTTGGGGCTTTTGTGGTAAGAACATTTGTATCATGACTTCAATTTGCACACAGCATTTTTAATTCCTCTGTTCTTTGAGTTGCACCAGCACAAGCAGCCTCCAACTCTAGGTACACACCACCATGTAGCAGCTCCATCTGAGTGCCCCAGAGGTCAGCTCAGGGCAGCTGAACTTGGACACTCGCTGTGCACAACTGCACCCCCACCTCCTCCCGTCCTCTCCACCCAGTACCGGGTTTGAAACCCCTGCTCTTCACCTCCCACACCCCTACCCTCACTGCTTGTCAGATCACCCTCTTACAAACCAGCCCTGCCACTAGATACCACGTCTGTAAGAACAAGATATGCCTGACAGGATATTTTTGCAGCAGGTCTCATGTTCTGTGCTCAGTATGGGGCACGTGGTGCTGTTAGGACCTCAAGGTGTGTTGAAAATCTTTTCAATTATGGTCTGAAGGGCTCAGGCAGCAGCTCTGACTCTGTGTTGTGGGGGGAGCAGGAAAACATGCACAGTCTCCTCACTCCCTAGCATCAGTCACTGTCTTGATGGAAAACTAAATTAAGCCCCAGAAGCAGCAGCGGCTGCAGGCTCACAACAAATTCTGTACCACCACCCAAGCAAACGTGCCAGCCGTGGGTCAGCAGCAGTGTCAGGACTCACACAGCACAAGGCTGCTCGACAGCTCTGCCAGCCCCACACTGTGCCAGAGGATCACCCCAGACCCTGCAGGGAGTTCACTCACCTGACACTGAGCTCCAGGGGCTGAGGTGACAGCCACCCCCCTGAGCAGCCCCAGGGCAGGGGTGTTGAAAGCAGACACGCCTGTGCCAACTTGTACTATGCGTATTAATAAATATTCTTTATTTAAATTTTGCACATTGCGCTTTAACATATTACATCCAAAACATCTTTGCAAATGGATGTCTACTTTGTAAAATCTTATATTCAGCTCATTGTCATTCTGTACAGAATTATAGGTACAACATTACTTTGCCACTAGTTTGCTTTTCGTAAGTCTCACAGTAAGAGAAACGTTTCATGAAAAGAGATGGCTTAAATTATAAGAGAGGCTTGCACAGCTACTCAACTAAAGATACAAGCCTGAAGAAAGAACAAAATTAATGAAATCACCTCCACCAGCCTCCCCCAAAAACAAGGAAAAAAAAAAAATCACATTAATTTAAGATAAAATTTTGCCATAAGTCACTAAATTAAGTTTTTGAAAGAGAAGGCGCAGTAGTCATCTTGAGAGTTTCAGTGAGAGACAGAGCTACTTTATTGTGTTTAGTTCGCTCCAGCCGTTGTCAACCAACCGTTACAAACGGGCCCCTTGTGATCATTTAAGCGGCAGTATTTATTAAATTTCTCCTTCAGATGCTGTCGGTACTGTTCTCTATTGCTGTAAAAAGACTTGTTGTTTGCCATGAAGGACTGTATTTCATCTTGGGAGATAAAGATTTCCTCGTCAGAAGTGCATTCGGACTCATCCTGCAAAGGGAAACAGGCGCTGAGGAACCCAAGCAGAGCCGGGCGGGTGCAGCCTCCAGCCTCAGCTGTGCTGAGGAACCCGAGCGGAGCCGGGCGGGTGCAGCGCTGGGGGCGGTGCCCACACCGGGGGACGGGCAGCCAGCCACACACCTCCAGCCTCAGCTGCTACGCTGAGGAACCCGAGCGGAGCCGGGCGGGTGCAGCGCTGGGGGCGGTGCCCACACCGGGGGACGGGCAGCCAGCCACACACCTCCAGCCTCAGCTGCTACCTGGCCACAGCCCTGCCCTGTGAGGCAGCCTACACAGCCACATCTGCCAGAAAATGCTTCAGTCTCAGCACACTTCCACAGAAAAGGGATGGCCTTTATTAGGGGGGGAGGGCAAACGGATGTAAAGCAAGGGGAAGGAGAAGGGGAAGAGAAGGAGCGAGAAGAGAAGGAGAGAGAAGAAAGTTGTCTGAGGAGCCCATAGTGGGAAGTAACATTTGAGGCAGGAAGGCAGCACTAATGCACACTTCCATCTATGAAATAATGCAATCTGTGCTAATGAACAGAATACTAGTTCTGTCACTTGCATTCTCTCTCCTCTGCAAAGGGTCCCAGTTCCACACTGTACAGAGCACATGCAAAAGCAGAGCTGGGAATCTCTGGTTCAGTTACACTCGCTCCTGTCACAGCTTGTCAGTGGGATCTGAGCTCCAAACCCCAGCCCCAGCCCCGAGGAGTTAAAGCAATACAGCCTAATGGAAAACCCAAAGCAAGCGGTTACTTACGAGGAGTTCCACTAAGCTCTTGGCACCTTTTCCAGTATCGGGAACAAGTGACATTTCCATGGGTTCTGCAAACTGTGACACTTTTTTCATGTGCTCAAACCAAGGCAACTGCTGCCCGCTTTTTTCTGAGCCACAGCAGCTTTCGGCATGTGTGTCTTTGGTCTTGTCGCGATGAAACTCTGTGTGCATATTTCCTGAGGTCTCTCTGTTACCTGGATCTGCCAAACAGCTTCCAAGTTTCTGAATCTGAAATGGAAAACAGCCTGTGATGAACAATGGGCCGTGTTAAAGCCTGAGATGGAAGCAGGAGGAAAGAGGACAGGGAGAAGTTCAGGGATGTGTTTTATCAGTGTGTGCCTGGCAGGTTCATTCACTGAGAGTGAGCCAAAGAGCATGTGCGTAGGAACGCTGGAGAGAACAGACTCCTCCCACCACAACCTACTCTAGGAAGGACCTCAATGTCAAAATGTGGATGGAGAGGCAAGAGGAGACCCTTGTTACCCCATTTACAGCATTAATCACAACTGAAACTTGAAACACTTCTGTAGCACCTTTAAAACGTATGCATTTAAAGCAGCATTCTGGAGTAGCTACGTTCCTTACATGTTCATTCTCACACTTCAAAGTTTTACTTTTCTTTTTCTTCTTTTTGTTTTTGCCTTTTGTGTTGTTCTCTTCTGAATTCGCCCAGCATTCCACACAGCTGTCTCCATCCTCCTCCTTGTCGTCACAGCGATGGACACAGGAATCATCTCCTGCAAAAGACAGGGAATGTTCTTCCCACCCACTTCAGTTCCGTGGAGGCTACACCAGTGTCACCTCCTCACCCCACCCACCGTTCTCGTCGTGGTTGCAGATTCCTTCAGTGCAGGCCACGTCAGACCCCTCCCGAGATCCTGTTTCGCTGCCCTCCATGCTGGAGGAGTAGCCACAATCGCTGCCGTTACAGTGTGGAGAGAGACCTGACACAAAGGGAAGGGTTACAGTAAGCTGCAGCAGCTGTTGGATTTTCTTTAGTTATGCCTCAAACGAGAAAGAATTCTTTAACAAAAATGTTTATTTTTAAAAGAGCTGAATGCTGTTTACCCCATAAATGGTAAATGTTTTCAAAACTAAAAATTAACAACATTTCCTAGAATCATTAAGGTTGGAAAAGACCTCTACGATCATCAGTCCAACCATCAACCCAACACCACGACCACTAAACCACATCCTCAAGTGCCATGGCTGCATGTTTTTTGAACCCTCCCAGGAATGGTGACTTCACCACCTCCCTGGGCAGCCTGGTCCAAGGCCTCATTACTCTTGCAGGAAAGAAATTCTTCCCAATATCCAATCTAAAACTTCCCTGGCACAACTTGAGCCCATTTCCTCTCGTCCTATCGCTCGTTACTTGGGAGAAAAGACCAACATCCACCTCACTCCAGCCTCCTTTCAGGGAATTGCTGAGGTCTCCCCTCAGCCTCCTCTTCTCCTGACTAAACACCCCCAGTTCCCTCAGCAGCTCCTCATAAGCCATATTCCAAATTCTTCACCAGCTTTGTTGCCCTTCTTTGGAACCGCTCCAGCCCCTCAGTGTCTTTCTTAGCCTGTGGTACCCAAAATTGACCCCAGTACTCAAGCTATGGCCTCACCAGTACCATGCCCAGGGCCTTGATCACTGCTCTCTCCCTGCTGGACACACCATTTTTGATCCAGGCCAGGATGCTGGTGGCCTTCTTGGCCACCTGGGCACACACTGGCTCATGTTCAGCCAGGTGTCCACCAGCACCCCCAGATCCTTTTCTGCCAGGCAGCTTTCCAGCCTCTCTTCCCAATCCTGGAGTATAGCTTAACATACCTTTTTTTATTTTAGGTGAACCTAATAGGGTACCACTGCTAGGACAGGTGCAGGAAGTGCCTTCATTCGTAACTATTACTTCTACACAGCTGTTGGCTTCTTCACTGCTACCACAGGCTTTGCAACTACTTTCCGTGAAGTTGGATTTTTCCTGAAAACAAAACCAAAAATAGACTTGCAAGTGCTGTCTCCACAAGAAAAAGGAGCTGATGCTGACTGGTAACAGCCACAGCAGTGCTTGTAATTCTTCAGAAATGCAATTAAAAAAAACCCCAAACAACAACTTTCCCCACAATAACAGGGCCTACAGTTACTCCAGAGTTCAGTCAACAGATCCAGAATAATAATTGCATTTTGTCAATTAAAGCTTCCCCTCTCCAGAAATTCAGTGGTAGTTGACTGCAATTAGTACTTGAAATCCTGTAGTTTTAGTGATCTTTAAGAAATGATGGTTGAAAAATATTTAAGCACAACTTTACCCCTAGATTTGGGATATTTTTTTTTTAATAAATCCCACCAAACCCCCAAAAGCTACAGGGTTCCAGGCAACTACTTTACAAAAACACTGTACTAATCTGAAGCACTACTTCTAGTGCTGCCACTAGCAACCCAAAGCTAGTTCCCAAAACTGAAATACAACAAAAGCCTCTCAGGAATTCTAACACTGAACAGAGAGCTAATGCATGAAGCAGAAATCTAGTTATCTAAGACCAGCAAAAAGCCACAGCTCTCCATGCTTACCTTTGCTTGGTTGATTTCCTTCTCTTCTGTGGCCTGCACAGGAGCAGGGATCTCACACACACACTTGTTTTTCCGCCTGTTCTTTCGTTTTTGGCGCTTTTTCTCTTGTTTAAGCTCTCGTACTCGTTCTTCTTCTGAAAACTCTTCACAGAGCTGCTCCAATCGGCTAATGCCCTGCACTTTCTCCACAGCCATCTGTTCAGGAGAAGTTACATCTGTTTATAGGTGTTAACACAAGTCAAGCTTTCACATTTATAAAAAAAATTTCAAATTCATAGGCAAGCTTGCATGCCAGTATAACTACCCAAGGTTTACAATGTTAATCAGTTTTCAACACTGCACTTTATTAGATTAAAAAAAACCACAACAGTAAGGCAAAACTGCTACCGTGCACCCAGTCCAGCACCATTCCCATACCATTTTAAGCCCTTTAAAAAATCACTTGGGAAAAACTCCACAAACTAACTAGATTAGGGTTCCACTGTGATCTTTCCGAGACTGATTTGGTTTCTCCTCCTCTGATGTTTTAGAAGTTTTTAGGGAAAACAGTCATTATGAATGGAAGATAAAGTTAACAAAAAAGATCTCTGTCATACTGAAGAGCAAGTGTACTACTGGCACACATTAAGGGACTTGTGTTTGAAGCTCAAGATCCCAAAGGATTACAGAGTGCCCTTGGAACACACCAAACACAAGAGTTAACAGTTGTGTTTGTAGTTTGAAAGCTCATTCTCCAATTTCACTAATAAGCTAAAAAAACCCTGTTGTAGCCAGAACTACTTTAAATGCCATCAGGTAGAAATACTTTCAGTGTGAATGAAAACCACAGAAGATCCTGTGTGCTGTAACATGTGGCTTGGAAGTAAAAGCAAGCCTCAGTCTTGTGTTCCAGCAGACCTCACGCCGGACTGGAGCTCAGCTGTGCTATGCATTGGTCCTGCACAACTGCTGCCCCCTGTGAGCAAGGGGCTGAATGCAACACCTTTGCAGCTCCTTCCAGCCCAGCCTTTGCAGGGAGCTTTATGAAAGCTACACAGTTACTACAGCAATTCAAATACAAGTTTGATAAAATTTGATTTTTACCTCAAAACTTTTGCGTAAAGCATCAACACCCAAGTAAAAAAGCATCTGCCACGTTTGCTCCTCAGCACGCAGCTTCTGCCAGATTCGGTGTAATCTTTCATAGAGATGAATGCCCAGGCAGGTCAGAACTTCTTCTTGGGCTATGTCTATTGTCTTAGCATGCCTTTCTCTTCGTCTAAAGGAAGAGGTGAACCAAAGGACAGTATGGTTAGAGTAGCTGGAAGTCTATCAAAGCAGTTCAATGACATTTTCTTTAAGCACAAGGGAAGATACGTTTGCATGAACAGCTTTTCAAATTGAATTCTGCTGTGCTGCATGCAGATGCAAAATAGAAAGGCCTGGGTCAAAGGCACCACTCCATCCCAGCACCTCAACCTGCACTTTCCAACCCTGACTTCTGCAGGTGCTGCCCCATCAGCCTCTGCTTGCTCCTAATAGGAGGGGTCAGCAGAGCTTAATGCCAACGAAACACAGCCATTCTTTTGTTTCCTAGAATCTGTATTTAGTTTATATAGCAAATATTTCAGCTTCCGTTTATGCATCTGTTAACTGAAGCTGAATAAACACACATCAAAGTTTATATATTACTTACCATACCAAATAATATTTCAGTATCTATCATCCATTAAGGAAAATTATAAAAGGAATAATCACATGGTTATAATTGAGTTTTAAGGATATCAGGCTCAGAATTATGTTTTCCACTGGAAGATTTTAAGATGCTGAAACAGCCTCTTAGTTTAGAAGCAGCATCTTAGTTCAGAAATTACCATAATGCACAAAAGGCAACAAAACTAAACTGCACACTTGGTAAAAGTGTCAGCCAGGGTTCTCTTTCTATTTTGCATCCTTTGAACAGCTCAGTGAGAAGCAGGCAGCCCCACTGAGAGCACACGTGAGCCAGAAGACACGGGGCCACTTCTTTCAGTCTGCTCTCAAGTCAAAAGCACAGGCAAAACCTTCGCCGCGCTGCAGCGCTGTTGGAAAGCCCGCTCCGTACGTGTGTGTGCATCCCCCACGCTTATTACACAGCAAGGAGGCAAAAGAAAAAAAAAAATCACTTGTGCCCAATCCAGTCAATAACCAAATAAAGAAGCAAAGCGCTAGATAGCCCACTCTAGCAAACTACATACTCATACCCTCCTGCGAACTCGGGCTCGGCGCGGCCCAGGAGGTGCGCGATGAAGTCGGTCTCGCAGCAGACGTGGATGTGGCGCTCGTGGGGGCAGCAGCGCAGCCCCTCGTACAGCGCCGCGCAGTACCCCTTCTCCTTGCTGCAGTCCAGCTCCCCAGTCAGGATGTTGTAGGCCCGAAGGACCTTGTTCTTGCAGTCGGTGCAAAACCTGGGTGGGGAGAGAAGGGATGGAAGAGTCCTCACTCCGGCGGCGCCCCGGGGCCGCTCCACGCTGTGACGTCCTGAGCTACTCCATGGTGCATGCTGTACTTCAACCAGGGCGGGTGAGGTTGTGTTACTTCAGAAGGTAAAACAGTAAGACTTTGGCTGTAAGCCACGTGAGTTTACTGTACGTGTTACACTGTCTATCATATATTACAAGCCTGGATATCAGCTTTCATGCTCCAAGGCATAAATCAGGCTAATTGTTAATAGGAAGAAATTCCTATATGGATGTGAAATTCCGTATTTGTTCAGAGATCAGAAAACTAACAGTGAACAAACTGAATCATTAGCACAAGCCAGGACAAAATTCCTCTCAAGTAACACACTCCAAGTTACTTTATAGAGATTATTTCAAGTATACTCAAGTGAGTGATAAGCAATGAGAAAAGTTTCCTCTGTTGCCCACTGTATAAGAGCAATGTTTCCACTACAAACACCCTTAAACATATTTCAAATTATTAGATTATTGCACAGATAGCCAAACAAGGTTTTATGTAACACAATGTATTCCATTTACACTGGTGATAGCTCAGATAATTAATGAGTATAGTTACAAAGTCTGTTATAATTAAAATACAACCAAATTAAGCTCATTCTATTTTATCACCTCCAAGAAGGTACAAAACCTCTTGCTGTATTACTCTAAAAATGCAAGTCAGACAAGCTGCTCACATTTCAGCTTTCAGCTTGAAAAGCTGGCTCTTCATGCCACCTCTTGATGGTGTTTTTCCCTTTCCTAGTTTGTCCAGTCACTTGACAACACTAAATGAAACATATTTTGATGTTTGATAGAACTATAACTGGCTAGTTTCTGCGGTGAAAGGAAAGAAAACAGTAATATTATTGCAGGTTAGCATCAGGAAAGCTGCCAACACCATGTTTAATGTCACAGGAGATTAAAGTTATTTTGTTTCCAAAGTGTTATTTCCACACCACCACCACCCCCGCACCCATCTGTGCCCCCAGTTTATATCAGAAACCTTGAGACTAGTGGAAATCAAAACTTCTAATCACTGTGGTAGCTGGCACAGACATGCAACAGTCATTTGGTGGCCTATTTTTGCCCTGCAAGAGAGACCTAATAGCACTACTAAGCCATAAACAACTGTTTTAAAACAGTGATTTACAAGCAACACCAAGCCTAAAATCTGCTTCTATTAATTTAGTTCACATTATTTTGAAAGTTGCAGATACTCATGGAAAGCCTAAAAGAAGGCAGAGTCCCCACCAGAGCAGGCTGCTTGTGAGAGAATGAAAGAACATACACAGCTTTGATACCTCAAATTGTACACCATAATTTAATCCTAACCAAAAAACTTAAGGTAAGTAGTTATGACTTCATCTGAGGTCTCTGTATTCCCACAGCCATAACCTGGAACAACAGGTAAAACACAAAGAATATTTCACCATCTTAGTCTCATTGACTGTTCTCCATCACCACGAAGCTTAGAGCTCCATTTTAGAAGGGTATCTGAAGAATCCTCTACACTTTTAAACTTTGGGTGACCTCTGCATGCATGGTGACTCTCTCCCAAAGAAAGCAGCAGGTATTCCTCAAAAGGAAGGTGTGTCTTTGCTCTTTTAACATACCTGTGTTTCCGTAGATAGGTTTCTAATGTTTCTAAAAGACAACTAGAGTCAATTAAAACTACTTCATCCCTGCATTCCTGGGACATGAGCTCCCACACATCCATCCAACAACCCCTGGAAAAAAAAAAAAGAACCATAAGAAACAAAAAGGCTGTACATTATTCTGTTCAGAGTTTGAGAAAAGCAGCAGAATCAAGCATCATTAGTTTACCTGACTGCTCCCTGGAAAGGTCCACAGTGGGAAGTGATGCTACACTTGCTCTCTTCCTTCCTCCTGTCTTCACTATTTTCCTTATCTGCACTTCATTTCTCTGTACTGAATGTGCTACTGCTCCCTTCACTGCCACATAGTATTAAAAACATTTTGTTTTAAACCTATACCACATATACTATGACCTAGTTATTCTTCCTGAACAAATGAAATGAAAATGTTACCATGTTCCTCAGCTTACTCTGAATCCTACAGGCTAAGCCTTAACTTCCAGTGAAGTTAGTCCTGAGATACAAATTCTGCTGTCTGTGTTTATAACCCAGCCTCATAGTGACTTTATGTTACAGCTGAAATGCAGTAGTAATTTTCAGAATACTACCTGAAGTATAAATACACACAAGTTTTAATACTTCAGGCAGATCAAATTTCATGACAACTTACAAAAAAAAAAATCAAAGAAAAAAGCAAAACAAAAATAATCCCAACAGACTTCCACACATCTGCCACCATAAAACACTCTCCATTACATTTAGGAAATTTGCTTAGGAACACCCCAACACTTTACAACACACATTTGGAGATGTGAAAAGTACACTTGGAGAGCAAAGAACAAACTTTAAATAGCAAGCTGTGTTTACTTACAGGCTTGTCTACACCTGACATTTTATCAGAACAGTCATTTCTGTTGAAGCTCATGTGTGGATACAACAGAACAGAAGAACAGGGGAAGAAACACTCCTACTTAATAATCAGCTCCTCAAAAGCATTTACATATGCTATTAGCTCCTTTGCCAGATCATATGGTTTGTGTTTATGAGAGGTTAAAATGCTCCTTAGCCCTGGATGGAACTGAGCAGCCCTAAACCAGGCCCAGCGAAACTGAGGACACCCAGTAACCCTCCAGTGGTATTAGCTGGTTATGTAACCTGCATAATTAAACACACAATTACTACTCAAAGCTCTTTTTGTCTGCATAAAATGCTCAACAGATGCAACTCATCTGAAGAGGTTTCCTATAATGAAGTCAAGCAGAAGCTCCAAGTTGATTAATAAAATTTGTCCTGTAAGAGGATTCTACTTGATGCCTCCATGCCTGGGCTGTTGCACTGTTTGCTTCCACTCAGGGCAGGAGATTTATTTGGGGAGTCATGTAAGTAGCAGTAGATACACCCCGATCACTTCTGCAGCATAGCAGAGGGTTATCCCCTCAGCAGAGGGCAAGCTTTGTGGCACTGACTGCCCACAGGTCATGTTATCAGCTAAAGCAAAAAGCTTTACTTGCATCTTGAATCCTGGGGTCAGTTTTGGGCCCCTCACTGCAAGAAGGACCTTGAGGGGCCACAGAGTGTCCAGAGAAGGGCAATGAGGCTGGGGAAGGGTCTGGAGCATGAGTCTGGGTGAGGAACAGCTGAGGGACCTGAGATTGCTCAGTCTGGAGAAAAGGAGGCTCAGGAGAGACCTTCTGTATCCCAACAACTCTCTGAAAGAAGGCTCAAGCCAGGTGGGGGTTGGCCTCTTCACCCAAGGAACAAAGGACAGGACAAGAGGAAATGGCCTCAAGTTGTGCCAGGGGAGGTTGAGGTTTGACACAAGGGAAAACTTCACTGAAAGGGTTGTCCAGGGCTGTGCCAGGCTGCCCAGGGCAGTGTGGAGTCCCCATCCCTGGTGGGATTTAAAAGCTGTGGAGATGTGGTGCTGAGGGACGTTGGGTAGCGGTTAACGATTGGACTTGATGATCTTAAAGTCTTCCCCAACCTAAAATTCTACAATTCTGTGATTCAAATACTGCTTTTCTACCTGCTCCCTATTAACCTGCCAGCATTCAAAGTACTAAAGTGATTTATTCCAGCATGAACTGAGGAAACCAAGGCAGCAGCAGCAGCATCTCCATTCAGTTTCAGAATTGTCCTGCCTTGCCAAAATGGTAAGTGCAGGTTCCATGTGTTCTTACACAGAAAAGATGAAACTTACTAAAAAGAAAGAAAAAAAAAATTTAACACTTCCATAATGCTTTGAATTTGCTTTAGTAAAAAAAAAAAAAACAAAGGCAAAACTTATGATATTTTGCCTGTGTAATGTAAGCTTTATACTAATTATATGACAGGCCTGTAACCAAAATATAATGGGACATAATGATTAGCTACCACTGTCCTCAAGCAGCACAAGTGAAAATGAAGTGTCAAATTCCACATGCCTCACATCTCAGGGGATTTATCTAAACCCAAACAGACTCAATTCTGCACAGAAAAATACCTGCCCTGTAACTGGAGATCACAGTGAAGCTTTCCCAGTTCATATGCTTAACCAGAAACACAACACAACTGACTAATAAAGGTCCTGGACACTCCACCTAAGCATGGTACTCTAATTTATAGGTCATTATATATATATAAAAAAAATACATGCCACATGCAAGAAAACTCCCCAAATCCCCAACAGATTGACAGGGAGTGTTCTCCTGGTTAACCAGCTGGAAAAAAACGTTTCAACTTGAAGACACAGAGGCATACAAGCCTCTTTTCCACTGCTGTATTCAAAACATGCTGTCACATTTTGAGAAAATACATTTTAGAGTTTTGGTTTTAACCTTGCAGCCCAACCACAATAAAGCCCTTTATTAACAGTCATGCAAGGCATTTTTAATAATCCCAAGCAAAATGATTTATATTTGTTTAGCACATACCCTTTCACCTCAATGTGAGGAAAACTGCTGATGAATCATTTTGGCATAGAGCACAAAAACCAGTTTGTCTTTCTGGAGCATTGTTTATATCACAATGCAGAAGCCATCCATGCCCTGAGCAGACTATATTCCAAGTTATGTCACATGAGATATGAAAAGCACATCAGAGAGCACTGGTTTGGAATGGCCAAGCTGCGTTTTGGCAACTGGTTTTGAAATTAAACATGGATATTTAAAAAAAAAGCCACAAAAAAAAAAAAAAAAATAACCACCCCATCACCAAGTAAAAGGCCCAAAAGCCAAGAGGCACAAATGGAACAGCTAGAACCAACAGGCAAACTTTGGGAAATGGCTGATTTCTTATACTAGCCTCAGATTTTATGTAAAAGCATCACCAGTTGCCTTAGGGAGCTCTGACAATGAGTAGAGGGACAGGTCTCACATGGAGGAGGAGTAAGGATCTTATCTTGGGAGGACAGAAGACCTCACAGCACTAGAGTTGTCTAGACAAGGCATGAACAAGAGCATGGGGGGAAGTATTAAACATCTTACTGCCCAAAAAAGGGCTAACTACCTTCCTATGAAAACCTATGGAGAAAGCCTCATCCCTGTGCCACCCAAAAACTCCTGGGTGTCTCTGTTCCTTCCCCCTCCACCTACTTGGGTCTACTGTAATCCAAACACCTCGGAGATTGCTACTCTGGCAACCAGGTAAGAGTGTAAGAATTGATCTCAATGCTTAAAAAATAAATTAGTATTGATAGTGTGGTTCTTTCAAATATTTGAGATTGAATTGTGTCTGTTAAACACAAACTTACCCCAAAGGCTTTGGTTTGTGTGTGTCCAGGGAGTGCAGCTGACATCTCTTGTTCTTCTTACTTTTGGGAATTGCATCAATCATATCATTCAGTTTGGACCTACAGGAAAAAATGTAACTTAAGTGTTCTGAAAACGTGGTTATCCAGAGAAATTTTAAAGGGATTCTTTCAGATCATGTATCAGACACAAGTATGCTAATGAACATTACAGCTAAAACTTTCTTCCTTTCCCCCATTTTTACACGCTGTGCCATACAATCCTGCAATACACAAGGAAAGCACAGCACAGATTTTCTAGACAAACCCTAGCAAGCAGGATAAAGATAACCAGCATCTGAAAAGCTCTTGTGTAACTTTGTAAGAAACAAGCCTCGAGCAAGGACACCTATTGCAGAACTGCAGGGAACCATTACCACCTCTTTAACAAGTCACACTACCCCACCCTGCACATCTCAATGTCCCCAGCTCTGCACCAGCCCTTCCTGCTTCTTGTTGGCTGATGACTGGAGCAAGGAGGGAGCTGAAGCCAGCTGGAAGGCAAAGACACACCGTGCTGAGCAGCCACTGTTTGGTCCACTGATGGCTGAGAAACAAATGGCACCGAGACTGAGGCTATTTATTGTGTTAGCCAAACCCTGAAGGTTTCACTTTCTCAAGTGTTACTTTTCTATCCAAAAGTAGAATGGGATTTTGGTGTAGAGGTTTTAATTATTTTTTTTAACATTATGCATGCAAAGTAGTGGGGCAAAGAAACACTTCAAGAAATCATGAAAACCCCATAGTCTCTACTTCCTATTACAGAATCCCAGCATGATCGGGGTTGGAAGGGACCTCACCTCATCCAAAGCCCCTGCTCCAGCAGGTTGCTCAGGTGGGTTTTTAAGCCCTCCACAGACGGAGACTCCACAACACTCTGGGCAGCCTGTTCCAGGGCTGTCAGCCTCACAGGCAAGTTTTTCCTCCTGTTCAGATGGAACCTTCAGGGTTCCAGTTTGTGCCCATCGCCCCTTGTCCTGTCACTGGGCACCACTGAAAAGAGACTGGCCTCATCCTCTTGACTCCTGCCCTTTAGATATTTATAAAGATTAATAACTAAACATTTTAGCACTGGCTCTTCTGCCTGCAGAGATGGCCCTGACCCGATACGCAGGGCTCGCTCTTCAGGTTTGTTTTCTTTGCCAGTTTGCCGTGGCTGGAAAAGCCAAGCTTCAGACACTCACCCATGCACGTAGAACAGCGTGTACAGTTTCTTGGCATCAGTCATACAGCTGCGAGTGACAGAGAGCACCCCCTTGGGCCCCACGGTGAGGGGCTCCAGGGCCGGGTTGCCCGACTCGACGAGCTGGGAGAAGAGGCGCTCCACGCTGCGGCGACAGCCCACGCAGGGCACCAGCTGGGACAGGGCACTCAGCACCTCCCGCGACGTCACCATCATGGCAATGCTCAGGTCCTGCTGCTTCAGCATGCTGTGCCTCTGAAGAGCAACAAAAAAGGAAATCATTCTTTAAAATAAGTGAGAAACACCTCGGAAACTGTTCGAGGCTTCTTCAGCAGCGTTTCCGTATCAAAATACACTCGTGGAAACTGCACACAGAGCTCAGAGGTTCAGGTCACTGTCTCACCTAAGATACTTACTGTGAACAACCCCACACTTGCTAACACCACAGGAGCAATTCTGCTTCATGTCTTACAGTCTCTCCTCTGGAAGGAAGCTGATGTTTTTCCCCTCGTTCCCACTCCAATCAGTAAATGCTGCTTCTGAACAAATGCACTCCTCCCTGTCCTCACCAGGAAACCCTTTTCTCTCCACCTCAGCACAGATGTTTTACTAAAGGGTTCCACATACAGCTCCACAAGTTTTCATCTTCTTCTCATACTCATTTTATCTTTGGCACATAGTGTCCAGGAATTGCCTTTCTCATTGGCATATATGGAAATCTCATTTACAAACTTGTTCAAGACAATTTAGCAGTGTTTTTCCTGGAAGGCTAAATGCCATTTCCCATTAAAATTCTAATATCTGAAATCAAAAAAAGCACATCTTACTGTTCAGGGTGTAACACTTTACTTCAGAAGTGAACATTCAATGTGTGCTAATAATAGAACATTAAAGAGAACACCTTCCAATCCCTCTTACATCAACAAACAATTTAGGAGCTTCTCCTGGTTCCCTGGTCAAACACATCCAGGCACACATACACCCAAAAAGCACATACCCTTCTGTTCTTCTAACTGCTAAATTACTGGCTTGGACTCCATCAACACTGAACTGCCACTAGCATGGCTATGCAGAAGAGAGTCCCTTCCACCACACCAATCTGCACTTAAAACATCAGCACTACTGGCACTTTCCAACATCATCTGTAACAGCAGGGTCCTGTCAGTGTAGCATTGTGAGCATCATTTTTCCCTGGTTATACAAAGTACAGTTTTGTAAGTGTTGCTGTACCCACACAGGGAAAGTTTTGTCAGGACAGAATTTTCTGTGTCAGTTCCCTGCCACACCACTTAGACACTACTGCTCTAGAAATGACTCCTCCCAACTTCTGGGGAAAGAAAGAGGAGACCATACAACAGAGTGAAACTGATTGACCATGGAACCTGTAAACACCTCAACTGAAAACAGAAAATATTCTCAGCTCATTTGATGTAATATATATTATGAAAAGTAAAGCTATTATCAGATAACACTTAAAGTTTGTGCCCTTACAGGCAGGCACATTAAATAATCTCACAAACAATATCACTCTGCAATAATCCTCTTTCCTGTAATTAATAGTACTAGTCACACAGCAGCCAGAATGAGCCACTTTCACAGCACAGCTATGCCTTATGTGCAGCATACATCTGAACTGCTGCTGCCAAACCATGAGTGAAGAACCCCAAGCTGCAGATCAGCACACTGCCTGTTCCTTTAGACATCAGGTGGCACAATTTTTTAGTTGCTACAGGTGTTCCAGCTCTGTGGTGGTTTGCCAAAGTGTTAGCAGAGAAGTTTCTGTTATTAAAGCTTCAGGGGTACCACAAAAACGTGTCACTAGTCAACTATACATAATCTATAAACTGGCCCATTAATTCTATCTTGGTATTGTACTAACAGTAACTCTTAAGCAATGCACATTTCCACTTGAAAAAGCAGTTCAAAGGTATTTAGATAAAAAAAATAAAGTGTATTTAGAAGCTTTTGTTTCCATAAACTGGCAGCAAGCAGAAAACACATTGTTTTTACAAGTTTTCAATTCTAAGCAGACATACAGCAACTGCCTCCTGACAAGGTAACAGTGTGTGAATGCTGTGAAATACAGAACACAAATGCACCCAGTGTACTTTGGTACCTACAAGTAATTGCACATAGGTGCTGACGTGACTTTTAAGTCATTCCAGGAGCAAGAACCTCCTAAAGAAGTGAAAGCAGGAATCCAAGGAAAGCAGGATCTGATATTACCCTTATTAAAAACCAGAAGGCCGTATTTACCTGAATGAACTGTTTTAATTGTGCACTGTTACTCTGATGTCCATCAAGGTTCAGAACATTGTCAGGAAATTCCATCACCATCTATATGAGAGGGGGAAAAAAAAAAAAAACAAACAACAAAACAACACAGCTTTCAGAAAAGCATCAAACACAGAACACGAGTTTATTTTACTTTCTGGAGGGAAACAAGACAGAAATTATGTTAAATGCTCATTCTTTTCCCTTAAGTATTGGAAGCCTGGCAAAGGATAAAAGTAACAGTAAGACAGTGAATGTTTCAGCAAAGTAACTGTTTCACTGATGTGATGTTCTACAGGCAGACCTTAAGTGGCAACTCTTAAACAACCATTACAGAGACAGAAAAAGTCACGGAATGGCCCATCAGTATTTATATCACCCTATCTACATGACTTGAGACCCTGTGTGAGTTTTGAAAAGAAACTGAACTTCACCACACTGAGACCCAAGCTGTTCCTAGAGCCTAACTCGACTTATAAAGCTATGAAGAAACAGTCGCAACAGGTTAATGACTGAGTCGACTCTTCAAAGGCTAATTTAAAACCCTATGAACCCAACAAGGCACTCCAAGGTACACTTTGTTTTGTACGACTGCAGCTGCAATTCTGGAGGCTGGAAGTAAAATGTTAAGCCTACAGAATAGTGTGAGTACTTGTGAGCAATTATTTCTTTTCAAATTACTGAGCAATGGAAGGAGGCAGTTTCTTTGGGGGGGGTGGAAATAAGTAAAATAATTTTCAGTCAAAAATCCAACTTTACAACCATGGAGAAAAATGAAACCAACTTGAGAAATGCATAAAGAAAAACAAGCCAGTTTTGGTCCAAACTGAGAAATACAGAATATATGAATACTGAGAGCTCACTGTAGAATCTGGAAGACAAAGTAACAACTTTGGTTAATAACTCTAATACCAATCAACACCAAATGAAATTGTCCATTCAGCCTTTTTCCTTCCTCCTCCTTCCCTCAGTTGTCTACCAAAGACAGAATTCTCTCCTGTCTTCATAATTGCTGACGCTACCTCCAGAGAACTCATAAATTTATTTTACAGGCACTCAACGTTGCTCCAAAACAAGCATCTGCTCTCTAAGGCCAGAAAGCAAGGCAGTATTTTGATCACACCCGTGCTAGAACGGGAACATCCTCACAGCTGCCTTATCTTTGTGCAGAGCAGTGCCACAGTCAGTGCCAGCTCCCACCTCTCGGGCTTTTATTTTTCCCATTTCCCTCATCCCTGCCCCACACAGAATGAGCAGCAGCAGCACAACTTTCTGCTGCAGAATTACAGGGT